GAGTAGGAAAAGAAAAAGGGATAAAGATAAGGAAAGAAAGATTAAATAAAGCAAGATGGAGGCCAAAATGGACTATTAGCCTCCTCTGTGGGTTCATTTTAGAAATATAAAGTATTTATAAAGTCATTTAAGCCATTTTTCATCAGGTTATGCTCTTCATACGTTCATACTTCATATGTTCACTCTCTGTGCTTTTTGTGTGCATTAGGCCTGTGTGTGTGTGTGTGTGTGTGTGTGTGTGTGTGAGAGAGAGAGAGAGAGAGAGAGAGAGAGAGTCTGTTTATGTGTCTGTGTGTGTGTGAGAGAGAGAGAGTCTGTGTGTGTGTGTGTGTCTGTGTGTGTGTGTGTGTGCGTGCATCAGTAGTGTGTGCGGTCATCCAGATCTCCTGTCTGTCACAATCACACATGTTCCCCATTACCATGACAAACCAGTTGACATCCCATTTCCCCACACACACACACACACACACATAAACACTCCACAAATGCAAGGAGGTGCACACATGCACGCAGACAGAAAGGCATGATGGGAGATGGATAACAAAGGCACAGAAACATGGCCCCGTGTATCCCCATAGGAGAGACTGTTTGTTCGCTATGATGGGTGACACGGCTGGCTGACACTCTCCTCCATACCAACCCAGCAGCCAATCTAGAGAAATTGTGCGGTGACATTGTTGATTAAGCAGACATTCAGTGTACGGGATGTGCGTTGTTACAGTGTAATGAGTTCACTGGTGCAGGGAGATGCAGTCTCAGTGTGTGTGTGTGTGTGTGTGTGTGTGTGTGTGTGTGTGTGTGTGTGTGGATATATAGATGTTTGTACTGTATGTGTGTCACATGTCGATTTCAAGGACATGTGACTGCATCTATCAAAGGAATACATTTGACTTTGAACCAGAGCTTTGCATGACTTAAGCCAGGCCACAGCGCCTCAAACCGCTGAGATAATCATCAGCAGTCAAGTGCTGCCATCTAGTGACGTTAAAAAAGAGCTTCCTCTAACAGGAGATCCAGTCAGAAATGATTAACTGCTTTAAATGTGGAGTCACTTTTACTGGAAAACTAAACTTCGGATGTAGATTCATGGAAAAGCTGAGCTCGCAATAAACTTTAATTACTGAGGCAGTTTAAAATTGACACAGCATGATCACTTCTGTGCGTTTTTTTCCCTTGACAAAGTCCAGATTCATGAATTTATCATCCTCCCGTGCTTCCTGTGTCTCCCTCTTACTCTTCCCTGGATCTCTCAGCCTCACTCAGATCAATAGCTTTGTTTGTTCCAGCAACACCTCCCAGTGTTTTCACTTGTCCCTCTCTGCAGGAAGTGAATTGGACGATCTATCCTGAGCTGTGGTTATGCTGTGAATCAAAAAAGCCAAATTAAATTGCCTAATTGGTTTCCTTGGGAAGGGTAAAACAGATTTAAATTGATTACCGGTAATGGCCTTTTGTGGAACCACATTGGCTTCTGCTGTTTGAGGAGGATTTAGCAAAACCAATTAATTTGCCTCACCTCTGTTGCACCCTCCCTCTGTCACCCTTTGTCTCTGTCTGGGAGCTTTTTCATCGTTTGGTTTTTCCACTTTGTGAAGCCTTCTGTCATACTCTCAAAAATAAAAAGGATGATGATAAAAACGTCACTGGATAACAATCATTCAGGCCTAATTGGCTGAATGCTGTCACACTTTGTTGCTGATAAAATGGCAGAGATGTTTTTTTCCAGGTCTACTGTTACGAGACTCGCCTGACAAAAGATAATTTAAATCTCTCTTTCAATTACGTTGGCTGTGCCTGTTTGCTTCCACACAGCAGCTCTCTCTCTCTGCTGCCTCTGCTGCTGCTGCTGCTGCTGAGGGCGGAAAAACTAAGATGTCAAGGTCACATTTTGTCACACAAGCTGATTAAATCCTTAATATGCCCTCCCCTCTGTATCCCTGGCTCGGTGTTTCTCCACCTCCCATCAAATATTATCACAACCAGACCTAATGTGACATTTAGAATGGGCAAATTACAAGCACTTAATGTGATTTCATTAATTACATTGGGGGCAACTATTGTGTATGATTAAAACAGATGTCACCCACCTCATGGGGGACGGAGAACAATTATTTTCTCACCGGTGACTTTTATTAGAGAATTCAAAGTTTTTTTTTTCAGCACGTTATAAAATGTTTAAAGCCATATCATGAAGGCATCATCATCGGTTAGTGTGTTTTGCGACTGAGCAAAGTCAGATTAGTGTGCTGAACTTTTTTTCCTCACCATTGTGTGCCGTAAAATTAAATGCAGTTAGGCTGAATAGCCCATGACAAATGAACAACAATAATTTAAAGCATTGTAAATGTATTTCTCGCTCACTTCATGGAGTGCAGATGAGTGAAGCAACCTTCCTTTCGTCTCAAGGTTCAATGGAGATGTAAGAGTAATGACTTAAGTACTGCTGTTTAGCTGGATTACACGCAAAACCCTTAAGCATTACAAATTACAGTTGAAAGAAGGCCGGATTCCATTATGGGATTACTTTACACACATTTGGTGTGGGTATTGCAAATCTGTATTAACCAGAGTTGGTATATGTTACTCTGGAAACAATGTGAGGGCGTCTTGATGGGCGAAGTTAATCTGTGTCCTCAAAAAGGGTCACAAGGATGTTAGACACCTGAGCAGGTATTCTGTACCTGGAAGGTGCGAGTGAGGGCAAAAACAAAAGCAGTTTCTGAAAACAAAGTTATACGGACATGTAATATTTTAACCAAACAATATAAAAACATAATCCTCTTCTTTAACAAAATACACGTCAGGGCCAAGCTGGGAGACAAGGATGCAGGTTTTAGATTTTAAAAAGGTGGATTTTCGTTAATCCAAAAGACGAGAAATAATAAAGCAGGGCTTGAATATAAACTAAACTAAACTGGAGGTCAGTAAAACAGAAGCAACTGAAAAACACAGCAAACTGAGCCACAGCAGAACTTAACTGGCCTTGAAGACACAAAAGCAGAGAACAAAACACATTAACTAAAATAAATACAAATTGAGGCAAAGTTGAGGAAAAGGTCAAATTAAAGTAAAGATGTGAGTGTGGCTACGGTTGCCGCCATCAAAACACAGCACTGTTTCATTCAGTTAGCATTTTGTGCACTGGTCGTTGCTTGTGACGTCTTCTCCCACTCCAGGATCATATTGTAAATGATAAACCATTTCAGTATTCCATCAGTGGTTTTGCAAGATGAGGATAGAAAATACATTTCCTTCATTTCTCCTTTTCTGCTGTGTCATAATCACAGTTTATATGGAAACCGATTGTCAAGGATTGGGGCGGATCAAGTGTCAGGATGGGATGATGTGATGAGAGGATGATCTTGAAAGCAAAAGACAGTCTGTAAAATATGTTGCCAGTAATAGAGGTCAAAATACCTACTGCTGAGATATTTCTCAAAAATCCATATTGGCTTTTTTACCACATCAGACAAGAGTTTCAACCGCAAACGGGGTATAATTTCAGACTCTCCCTGGTTCTGTCATTGTGTTTCACTACATGTTCACATTTGCCAGCCAGATCTCCTTTCACGTTTACCTCTTCTTTGTCTGTGCCCCGACCTGAACATGAAGAATGAGTGTGAGATAACCTTTTACAAACCACAGAATGCTAAAGAAAGTAAAACTATATCAGGAAGATTAAAAAACAACAACAAAAAAAAAACAAAAACACTATCCATGTGAACAAAAGCTACAAAGAAAGCAGAAAACACCAAAGAGGAGATAATGTTTTACCAAAAAGAAATTTTCCACTTCTGAAACTCCCTGCCCGACACTTTCATCTGTGGCCTGAGGTTTGCATGTGGCCACAGCAGCCATCAGCATCAGAGGCAGCCTCCGAGTCTAAACATCAGACTTTCTGAACAATAAACACTGTTGTTTTTAATGAATAATTTATGTTAGTCGAAACTTGTATAAGCATTGAAGCCAGACATGATATAAAGCTCTGATATATGAGGATGAAATCTGTTCTCAAAAACATTTTATCTATAAATGTTTAACTTGTCCTCAAGCAAGTTCTCAAGTTCTCACCCAACTTGATGCACACATCTGAAAAATGATGAATAAAGTATATTGGTAAGGTTAAAAGCCCTTTTTATATATTTCTGCACAGAGCACAATACTGTATATTGTTAAACACATAAGAATTGATTGAAGTTCATGTACACTGAGATTCTTGATGAGATTGAAATTTATATAATTTTTATAAATCATGCAAATATACAATTTGGAAAATGAGTCAATGATGGGAGACACTTTAATCTCCTCACACAGTTTATGTTGACTTGGACTTTTTGGACTTTTTAGCCTTTCTTTTTTCTTTTTTTTTACCTAATACAATAATTTCCTTGCACCAGCTGCAAGACTGATCCTGTACATTTGCATACTGCAGCAGCAAGCCACATCAGTACCTGTTGTGGTTTGCATATATGCATATTTGCACCAAGAGAGATTTTTCTTAGCAATATACTTTTTGCTTACAAAAATGTCACCAGTACTACCTGTGCTGTGATAATGTTTTTAGTATAAACAAATAAATTGAATTTCTCATTAATACATCTACATTATATTTGTCTAAAGCAACAGAGTGTACATAAATAATAACACATATTATTCACTTGCTGATCACACACCCTTACAAATAGAATTGAGCCATATCAGTCACATGGCACATGAACAACTGTAATTGTTACAGAAGAGGTCATGAGATCTCAAATGAGGCTGAGAGACTCTGAGTAAATGAGTTAAAAAGTGTTGACTTGCACCTCGAGCCGACATGTCTTTAACAAGTATAAGTAACATATTAACATATTTATTATTGTTGTATGTTTAGCAGCCTCACTTCTGTGTCATGGAAACAAACTTTAATGACTAAAGAACAATATTTAGAAGCCACAGAACATTAGCAGAGCCACAGTAAGATAAAGTGAACAATTAAAAGCAACATAATAACAAACGCATAGAGTAAATGTTTTATTTCTTAGTGTAAAACATTTCATTTCTTTACATTTATTTACAATCGTCATAAAAAATTATGATATTAAAAGTGCACCAGGGCACAGAGAGACTGCCAGATTACACCCCACTCACTCGCACCCAACAACAATAGAACATTTTGTTCCATAACTCAGTTTCTTTACGAAATTAAAGTAAATTATGTGTCACTGTTCTCCTCCTCACTGAGGAAAGTCCTGGGCCTGGAAATGAGATAATCAGGAAGAACAACCAGTTAATGGACAATAAACACACACACACATATACACACACACTGTCAGGAGTTTGTTCTCACCTGCTCAGACCAGGGGGTAGCTGGCTGCAGTAGCAATGCCACACTGGTTGTGTTTGTTCCTGGTCATCATGATGTAGCCTTTGTCGCCCCACTGTAGACCCCAGCTACAGAAACACATATATTACCAACTGTATTCTGCTGCTGTATACAAAACAGAATCACTGTCTCCACAGAAACTACAGCAGCATTTAGAGAAAACATGTCCTGTATTCTAACAGAAGTGACACGATTGTAATAACTACTAATGACATGAGAATTTTAGAAGCTGACAACATCCTGGCGGATTTCACTTCATTTATGCAGCTATAAATAAGGTGTCTTGACTTAGCTCGCTGTGTCGGCTGTTAACACTGCTCACTGACTGTTAGCAGGAGAGCAGCCCACTATTTAAACTCTATGGGTATTTACCTGTTCTTGACCAGCCAGTAGTCCTGACCGTTCTCACTGCCGTATCCCACAGCCAATACACCATGGTCCAACTCTGTGCTGCTGCACTCTGGTTCATCATACACTCCTAGAAACACACACACACACATACACACACACACACACACACACACACACAGATTAGACAGACACATGGCTATGTTAAAAAAGAAGTGTATTTCTAATTTCCTCTAGTGTTTGAGGATATTATCTGGCAGGAACAACATAGTGCTTAAGACTGTTTACCTGATTCGTAGAGCTGGAAGGACGATTGAGAAGCATCAATGCCCACAGACACAGGTCCGATGGTTGCCACAGCCTCCTTCAGGGCATCTTCATCACCTTGTTTCACATCAACGTAGCCTGTGCATTTGGCACCAATAGTAGCAGGGTTGAAACGGCACTCCCCATCCTAATTCAGAGAGGATATTTTGTTATTTACCAAAGGATTTACCATCATGAGTGTAAATCAAAGAACAGGACATTTTTGAAGTGCTATATTCTCAAAAGATTTACTTCTTCTTAGGTTTAAGTTTATAGTGAGGTTATTGGCTTTGTACTGAAGGTCTGGGTTTAGTTGTACAATACATTGTGTCCACAAGATGGCAGTATACCGCAGGACCCACATATAAGATTCATATTCAATCAACACAAACTTGTTCCAACTCAGTTTTTTTCAGCATGATAATGTCAGATAGTTGTTTTAAGATTGTATGCAGTAGCTGTATTTAGAAATTATGACTTTACCTCAGCTTCATAAGGGTAGGAGTCCTCTGTATCAATACCTCCGTTGGCTTTGATGTACCGGAAGGCGTTGTCCATCAAGCCGCCCATGCAGCCCATGTTGCCATAGTCACCAGAGCAGTCAACCAGCTGCTGCTCACTCAGGGACACCAGCTTCCCTGTCTTCCTGAAGTTCTGACCCTCCAGAGAGCCAGTCTGGAAGAGGAATGAATGGATTTGTTACCAGAAAACATTTGTTCAAAGTGCATGAAGCCTGTATTACTGAAACAGCGTGAAGTTTTACATACTGTGCTGAAAGCCCAGCAGGAGCCACACTGCTTCTGATCCTTGACATCAGTGACGTATCCCTTGTCCCTCCAGTCAACAGAGCTTGGCAGGTCAGTGACTTCAGGCAACAGGAGGAAGGCAGAGCCATGGCGAGGCATAGACGCGTTGAAGATGCCCAGGCAGCCTTGGGAAATCAGGCGTTTGTACTCTTCATTATCCTAGTGAGGAGGGAGAAAATTCAGAGCGTCACTTAATAGGGTCTTCATCCAAAATGCCCCCTTCTCTCTTTACAAGCTGCCAGCAACCAAACGACTCTGGTGGCATTTAGTCCATAAATTCAACAAGTGGTGAAAGGTCAAGGCGAAATCATGGCAAAAACAGCCACATATCTGTTTTCTTTTTTTTGTTGTTTTTTTTTGTTTGTTTTTTTTTTTGTACGTACCATGTCAGCAAAGTAGGTCATGCCAAGGCGATAGGACTTGATGCCCTGGTCGGCCATAATATTGTGTACTAGTACTAGTCTGCGGTTGTTGAGCCAGATTTGCTTGCGTTGAGCCTCCTCTGATGGAGAGTGGTAGGACCTTCCTGCCAGTTAGAGACGGAAATATTCAGGTAGAGAACAGAGAAAAAAGGTCAGTGATAGATTATGAATCAGTTAAATACTTTTCCATTTAAGAGTTTTGCTTTTATTAGCTGACAAACTGTAAGCGTCTGAACATGTAGGCATATTACAAATCACTTTTGACATTTAAATGTGTGGTTATGTGTAAAGGAGAACATATTTCTCTCCAAATTGAGGCCCAATAGATAATATCTTTACAGACAACCACACAATATCTGCTGTACAAGATAAAAGACCATAATAAAAGAAAACAGTCAGACAAGAATCTCCACTGCCTCACCAAACTTGAGTTTCCAGGCGTGGAACTCCAGGTCTTCCAGGGAGATGCTAGCACAGCTGGCCACGGCCAGAACAGCAGCAGCAAACAACAGCACCTTCATCCTGACTGAGACACAACCAGCAAAGGCAAAGAGATCCCTTGTGACTTGCAGGAAACAATACAGGTTGTGACTAAACTCTTTCACTTCAGCTTGGTTTCAGAAACGTTTTTTTTCCTGACGTTGGTTGTTTCATGTACACTACCACAGCATCAGCTTTGTTTCCTGGTTCCTTTGAATCTACTGTCTACCCCCCAACAACCCTTTCTCATCTTTATGAGTCTCTATTTCTTCTTTGCATTAGTGCACCTGCACAACAGGAAGTGTGTGTGCTCATCTTGTTTGTTTGGGCGTGTGTGTGTGTGTGTGTGTGTGTGTGTGTGTGTGTGTGTGTGTGTGTGTGTGTGTGTGTGTGTTTGGGCGTGTGCGTGTGCATGTGTGTGTGTGTGTCTCTATCTGTGCTGCAGCTGCTTACCTGCCCCGATGTCGATGTAGTGAAATCTGAGCTGTAACTAGCTGTAGGTGATGCAGGGCTGTGGCAAAGAGCCGTTCTTATATAGTTGTGTACAGTTATGACTTGCGGTATGTCCAGTCATGTGGCTGTCAGCAGCTCATAAAGTCACAGAGAAAAAGAGTGAGTGTCAATCACTGAAATAGGGAATGAGGGCTTTATACATTATGAGAAGTTCTCATGATGCAATTCTTTTAGGAGATGTATTTTCCAGCGTCAGCAAAATGACGAATTGCTGATCAGTTACTCAGCAGTCTGTTGCTTAGATAGTCACACAAAGACGGAACGCAGGCTATGTGTTTGTTAATGTGATGCCTTCGTGTGAAAAACCACTGTTGGGATTTTGTGTTCCCTCCACTGCCCTGATTCCAGTCACATAGTGACAGTGATTCCTTTTGAAAGAACAAAACAAAAACAGACATACAGGACCATGTATCTGCTAACCTGTGCCTTCANGCTATGTGTTTGTTAATGTGATGCCTTCGTGTGAAAAACCACTGTTGGGATTTTGTGTTCCCTCCACTGCCCTGATTCCAGTCACATAGTGACAGTGATTCCTTTTGAAAGAACAAAACAAAAACAGACATACAGGACCATGTATCTGCTAACCTGTGCCTTCACCCACCTGTTGCAGTTGAAACCTTACTGTCTAAATTATGCCAAACTGGAAAATATGTAAGAATGTGGTGGAGGTGTTTTAATTTCTTTGAAATGTGGGTGGCACTCATGCGAACAGCCACTCATTGAAAGTTTGTTTGAGCGATTTACCTGAATGATCAAGTGTTTATTTGAAACAGTGTTTCCTTCTTTAGAAGGCACCACCACATCTGACTAATGTGTTATTGACTTTGTTTAATCTGAGATGGAGACAAACTGATAAGGTTCCCACAAATAGGTTGAGGTTTGGCAATTGTTTGCCTCAAACAAATTTTTAATTATGTGGCAAAAGTTTGTGAAAATAGAAGTAGTAGTAGTATTTGGTGAAATACTATTAGCCTGCCAATCTGTAATATCTGTATTATGTACATCATACACACAAACAACCACGTTCACATTTCTGATAAATCAAACCTTTCCCTACATTTGATATGATTCATGACTGTTTCCATTGACTGTTATTTAAGACTTCCGTGCAGTCTTTACACACATCCTGTTTCCAACTTGCCTGTAAAAGTTTGATTTGTTTTGCATATGTTCCCCATCTGTGATTGTCGGGCACATGAATTTAAATGTTATTTAGCAATTAAATTAAAAAAAAAAGAGTCTCAATTCAGTTTCAAAAATAGTTGAATTACTTTCACATCTGAAAATGATTCTTCAAACTCTTTTTACATACTGTATGTCTAACTAAGACATTCCACTCATTTTCTACAGCAGTTATGCAGTAATTCTCACGCTTTCACCAGCCTGTTGTGTCTCTGACTGTCACAAGGTTTTTGTGTCATGACAACTCTTCACACCATAAAGACACTGGGAAGTGGGTAAAAACTGAAAGCTAAGCTAAAAGTTCACAGATGTCATTGAACTCTTTCCAGCTTGTCTGTTTGTTAGTGTCCTGCATATGTACAGTATGTAGTGTGTACATATACTTGGGATCCTCCCTGTAAGAAAATTATGGATAGTTTGCCTGCCACTGAAAACAATAGACTTGTTAGGGTTAGTAACTTGTAACTGGCTTATAAAAAGCAAAAAGCACAGAAAGACTTAAACAGCTGACCAGTGGTGGAAGAAGTACTTTACCACGATGTACAAATATTCCATAAGAAGTAAAAGCCCTGCTCTCAAAATCATACTCAAGGAAAAGTACATAAGTATTATCAACATATTATAATAATCAAATGTCCTTTAGAAAAATGGTCCCTGCATTAATGTGAAAGCAGCATTTTACTGTTGTAGCTGGTGGAGCTATAGTTAATTTATTTTATTACAATTGTTCTCAGTCTAGGAGTCAACCCCCTTCCAAAGGGTCACCACATAAATCTGAGGCATAATGAGATGATTGATAGGGTTGGACAGAAGAAAGAACTGCTACACAAATTTGTGTAAAGTTTCTTTGGACTTTTACTAGTCTTTGTTCTTTTTTTGTGACAGTTACTTTGATGAAACCATCTGAGAAGTTGAAAGGATAAATCACTCTTTGGCGGAACTGCCAACAGCTTTTTTTATGGGGTCACATTATACTGTAAAATGTAAAATCTTATTCTGAAAAGTAACTAGTAACAACAGCATGTCAGATAAATGAGTAGTAGAAAACGGATATACTCAAGTAAAGTAAAAGTACCTCATAATTGTGCAGTGCAATACTTTTACTTAGTTAGTTTCCACCTCTGCAGTCGACCGGCAGCTATTTGCATGATGGTCAGTCCCTTTTTAAATACATACTAAAACTAGGTTATTCTGTGTTTGCAAGCTACATAATAAACACAGTTGGATGTGTGTGAACCTTTGCAATGTTTGACTTTAAATGAACATAGGTGTGTGTGCTGTGAATGGGATTTTGTAAAAGCAGATAGTGATGGAAAAGGTCAGGGAATGCTGGCGTACAGAATGAAAAAACCCACTTATTTTAGTTTCTGCTTCCAAACCAGAAGTCAAGTGCAGCTTTATGCGCACATAAAGTTCGTGAGGTTTCTTGTGTAATAAACCATTTACAACAACAGTCAAGTGACAAGATCAAGTCATGAGTCAGTACAATGCAAGTAAAGGAAAACTTCCTAAGTGCGTAGATCAAGGCTTGCATGTACTTGCGCCTGTGCACATGGCCTTGAGAAAGGAGTGTGTGTGGAGTACACTCTTAGGTTTACGAGGACATGAGCGTGTGTGTGTGTGTGTTTGTGTGTGTGTGTGTGTGTGTGTGTGTGTGTG